GTAGAGATTAAAATAGAGGTCATAACATGTTAGGAGGGGTAAGTGAGAGGGGAGCAGAGAGAGGGTGGATAATGGGTACCAAACTACAGTTAAAAGGGAGATTAATTCTAATGTTCTATAGCACAGTAAGGTAACTATAAACTACAACAATTTCTGATACATTTCAAAATATTAGAGAAGAGTCTGAAAGTTTCTAACATAGAAATATTAGTGCATGTGAAGAGGTAAATGCCATTTACCCTCATTTGTCATTACACATTGTATATACATGCACCAAATTACAATATTGTACCCCACAAACAAATACAAATATTATATAGGTCAATTAAAAATAAAAATAAAATAAAAAGGTAAAACAACTCTAGAATTGGATGTAAGCTTCATTTGCTCTTAACTATAACAGTTTTAGACCTAATTAGAAGGCAGGTGATGTGGAGGTATATAAACCACAGTTAATTTCGGTCCCTCAAAGTTTGTTTTGACCTGAGTGACAGCTATATGGGCATGTAGATGCCGTTTATAAATTCAAATGTTTGTCCAAACATTCAAATACATTAAGCTGAATATTTAAGATTAGTGCATTTTAGTGTATATTCAGATGATATACTTCAGAACAAATATTGAATGCTAAAACATAAACAAAGACCAAAAATCCACTTGGAATCCCTCTGAATTCAGTTTTAAAACTTTTATGTAACAACTTTATGTTAAATAATACCAGGATAATTCAAGCCACTGACAGAATGGCACCAGAATATTGCTTTATATTGCATGAAAGCACTTTACAGAAAATGACGCAATAGTTTCAGCATTATCTGTAGGGGTCTAGTCTGAAAGGCTTTATAAGTCTGTTTCAAATGAACAGAACAATGTTAGGAGAGAAAGAATGAAATTCTTGATATAAAGCACTACGGTTCTCTCCCATCTGATGTGTTTATTGGCAGTGTTTTCATTTTTGTATGAAATACAGTTCAGAAATCTATCCAATGCCTGATTTTCAGATGATGTATACTAGAATTAGTGAAAAATCTGAATATTATTAGTGAAAAATCTGGATATTATTCACTCATCTCATTTCAATTATATATATATATATACATATATATATATATATAGTCTCATTGAAAAATATGTACCTAGAAACCCAGAGAACTTACAAGCAAAAGGAAAGCCAAATATTTTGTGACAGTCATCATTATAAATTGATTTCACAGCAGCAAATCAAATGCAAATTAAACTAATTCTGAATATATGCAAGCTTCAGTAAACATAGCAGAAGGTTAATTCGTTAAAAGTAGATAAGTTAATTGGGTGTTTTAAGAATTTCATATTTCTCCTTAAAATTAAAATTGAAATTTTAGTTCATAATGAAAAGAAAAGTGCTGTAGTATACAGGAATTTTCTTTCTTTTCACGAAGTATCCAGACTACTTTTATGTATCATCTATTACCTAAGCTACACATTGTGGGGAAAAGTATTGTGTTTAATTTCTCATAAAATAGATAAAATTCTTAACTGTAATATTTCAACCATAAAAATGATTCATGATCCAAGAATCACTTTCAAACTGTAGTAAAAAAGAGAATCTAAAAGGCTATCAACATAAATAGCAACAAAAAATAAAATATTCTCACACAAAACAATAGCCTGTTTTTCAAGCTATCTTCATTTATTTTTATTAGCCACTTTCTTTTTCTTTCTTTTTTTGGAACTAGGGATTGAACTCGGGTCCTTGGCACTTGCGCAGCAGGCAGTGAAACGACTGAGCTAAATCCCCGGACCCTATTAACCACTTTCTTTAAGAAATTTCCTCAAAGTCAGCTGTCTTTGACAGTAGAGTGTTTCTTTTTGGATACTTTTCATGGCCTACTAGAGAAATTTAATAAATTATAGCTCAGTAGTTGGACAGAGTTGCATTTCCAGCTTTCCAACTCTACCTGTGGTACTGGTCATGATTGCTAGGTGGTTTTGGTTGTCTTGAAGTGGAACATTGTATTTATAGGGTGAATCAAATGCAGAACAAATCCTCATTGTTCTCTGATTAGTGAGTTGTGGCGTGATTATGGAGCTGTAAGAGTACTGAGGTAAGTCACAGCTAACTGTGGATGGCACATTTGCATACTATTTTATTCAAAGTTAACAAATTTTTAGTAAATATTTTACCTGAAATATGTGAAAGAGTATTTTTCTCTGTTCAATAATTGACTTAAATACATGTTAACTGTGATTGCTGGGTGAATAGTTCAGTCTATTGATATGGCAAACAATGAAAAATATAAATATAAAAAAGAATCCTTTCCAGAATACTCTAAAGGATAAAAGTCCTGGGAAAACTGTTGGATTCATGTTTCTCATCACAAAACTGAAAATAGTTGGACATATGTGGAAAATAGTTGGAAAAACTGAAAATAGTTGGAGGTGTGTGTGTACACCTGTGCATAATTATATCTACTGTACTTATTAATAAGGGATATTGAAAAAAGACCGACGACCTACACACACAGTTGTGTACATTGTAACAAATTATGTGTTTCAAGGGAGAAAAAGTGGGTTCAATTTTCATTATTCTAAAACAAAAGATAAATATGGAACAAGTATCAGAGTGAACAGAACTGGTAGGCAGGAAACTAACGAGTGGTTTAAAAAGTTCTAGTGTGATTACATAAAGTCTTTGTAAATATGGAGGGGTGGAGGGGTTGAAGGAAGGGCAGGGGATGGGGAAAAAATAAGAACCAAGATACATCATGTAAAAGTACAAGTTTCCAATGATGAATGTAACTGTATTGTATATCTAAATTGTACAAATAAACTTAATGAAAAAAAATCTGGTGTGAGAAATTGAAAGTGTAAATAAGGAACAAAATGTTAATAGGTAATATGAAATAAGAATAAAAGGTCCAAAGGGGAAGGGGAAGTGGGAGGGGTAGGGGAAAGGAAAGAAGGGAAGGGAACAAATATGAGAAAAGAAAAAATTGGAAACAAAGTCTTTGTAAATAGGGAAGGGATGGAGGGGTTGAAGGGAAGGCAGGGGAATGGGGAAAAAAATAAGAACCAAGATATATCATGTAAAAGCACAAATTCCCAATGATGAATATCATCATTTGTATACCTAAAATGTACCAATAAACTTAATGAATAAAAAAAGTGAATTAAAGCTTAAATGACTTTAAATAGTGAACCCCTTACCTGTCTCTGATGTTTAAAAAGCCAATGTTCCAATGATTCTCAAAATCATCGAAAATGGTTAAGTGAATTAAAAAAAAAAAGTTCCTAGTCAGACATGGTGGTGCAAGTTTGTAATCCTAGCACTTGGAGAGACTGAATCAGGAGGATTGCAAGTTCGAGTCTCTCTTTGCTAATTTCACAAGACCAAGTCTAAAAAATAGAATAAAATATAAAAAGGGGTGTGAATGTAGCACAGTGAAAGCATGCCTGGTTTGTTTCTATTCCCAGTACTGCAGAAAGAAAGGAAGGAAGGTAGGAAGGAAGAAGGAAGGAAAGAAGGAAGGAAGGAAAGAAGGAAGGGAGGGAGGGAGCGAGGAAGGGAGAAATCATTTTTCTTAACCAGAATGCGAGGAAATGAGATTATTGGATTTCATAGTTTAACCATATTTCATTTTTTAACTTTTATGACCTATTATGAAAAAGAAGAGCAGGATTTCATTGCATTGGAATGTCATTCATTGTTGAACTTGTTTTTTTTCGTGTACCCAAAATAGCATTGTGAAGTGTCTAGTTCTTATATCTGATATACACATTATTACCATAGCCCATATAGCATTTCATTGATTTCAGCTTTTAAGAACATAAGGTATTTGAAAAGAGAATGTGTTTTGTTCCTCTTCCAGTCTTTTTCATCTAGCATAATTCATGGCATGTAGAAGATGTTCAATAGATGTTAATTCCACCAAGAGATATTTGCTACATAAAATTTTATTTCTATGTAAATATTAAAGTTTCATATATCTGTTTTTTCAATGATGCACTTTAATTCTTTGCAATTGCAGCAAATCTACCATGTTTTAAGTAAAGAGCATTCTCCGGAGACCTGTTTTAGAACTGCTTTTTACTTTAAAGGTAGGCAAACAAGCAATCTAAACTTGTTTCTCTGTGTTAAACATGGCCATTTAAAAAAGTAATACGGCACTATGATTTTCACTAAACTAGGAAAGGTTATTTTGGAACTTCTAGGACTTTAGATATTTGAAGTAGTAATTACTTCCTCCATAAAATTTACTTTTTAGAGTCAAATACTATTTTCCTGTTGCTGTTCATCTTTTACTTAAAGGAAAATGTCTTTTATTCACAATTTATCCTGCTATATTATTCTCTGTGATAACTTTTGTTTTTACTTGTCTAGGTAGCACTGTAAAATTTATGAAGCATCATTATGATGACATTAGCTTACATTATTCAGTATTTGGTCTGTACCAAATATTTCATTAAGCACTTTACAGATGTTATACAATTTAATATTCACAGAAAATTTATAATGCTGGTGATTTTATAAATCTGTTTCCATAATCCATTCATCTACCTTTCTATCATCTATCTGTCTTTCCATCCATCCATCCTTCCATCCATTCTTCTGTCCATGCATCCATCCATCCATGCATCTCTCATTATCTATCACTAATACTTAGAAAGCCAATTCTCCAATTAGTAAGTGATGTGGTGGTCAGGATAATAATGCAGGAAAATCCATCTCCAGACTTTATTTTTTGGTTCTTTAAAGCTCTGAGTATTTAGTGACAAAATTTACCATATTTTTGCATGGTTCTGGATTTATGGCCTGTCTCAGTGAAATACGTGTGCTACCATTTATAAAACAATAGAACTAAAAATATATTTCTAGGATGGCCCTTAAATAAATACTATCAACTCTGAACAGCTTAGACTTCAAGAGCATTTCTTTGATAGGAATGAATGGGATATAAATCCTTACCTGATGCAGACCAACACTTGTATGTTAAGACCCACTGCTATCATTTACAACTTACCATAGCCTTGGATTTGGTTCCAGAATTGGTCACTGAGGTGGAAGATGGTAGATCAGTGGATTCGGTACTGGAAGACAAATTTGCTTGCATCTGATTTGCTGAAATCATATCTGCTCCATTTTCAGTTCCTGATGCCATATCCTATTAAAAGCAAATGTACTGGTTAGTATACCCTGCATGTCAGTCCCCCCCCACCCAGCACCTTTCCACATTCTCTTTCTGTCAACACACACAGATGCACTAAACACTCTCTGATGTTGACACACCACTCAGATTTAAGCATTATTTTGTAAAACAATTGTATTCTTGTGAGGGCTGGCAAATAATTGAGAAGTAGTAACATTCTACTTTGTTAACATAACAGCTAGATGTGAGTTGGAAAGGCTAGTAGTGGGAGCTTGTCAGGGGACTGCAGGAAGAATTAGGAGTAGAAACACAGAGACAGTCTCTCTTTACTATGTAACCTTGAGTAAAGTGCTTAATACCCCGCATGCAATAAAGTGCTCTCTGAACTCCACATAGGGCCACAGTGAACGTCACATGCAAAGAAAGATCTCATTTCTCCTCCATTTACTCTCTTCTCTGTTCCCATTAGACCAGCATGGTCGCTTCTATTACAATGGGCTAGATCATTCAGCTCAACTATCTGTGTGTACAATGAACTATATACTGAGGATATGAATTATGTTTTTTCATGTGTGATATAATTCCCTTGTTTAAAAATCGGTATAATAATATCCACTCATAAAATTTTATGACGGTTAAGCATACAGTTGGCGTGTAACAATTTTCAATCAATGGTAGCCATATAAAACAATAATTAACATCATTATGCCTTCCTTCTTAGTAACTATACATAATTTGAAGCTAAGACATCTGTGGAATGTATTCAATCACTCTATAATTTCTACAAAGGCTGTGCATTTAATTTATCAAATGACCTCTTTAAGTTGTAGGTGATTTGACAGCACAGAGGAAGTGTAAATGTGGGAGAAAGCAGAGAACAGGGTCCATGTCAAAGGTCCATGTCAGTCTATGCTTTTAACCTGAGAAAATGTTGACTTAAATATCTCTTTGTCTATTCTTTCTATGTATCAACTTTACCATTGTCTACATTGTCAAATATTTGCCCTGAACCCCAACTCTCTGACCCTACACTTTACTACTCTATTGCTCTTTCGTATGCTCTGGTCACCCTGGCTGTTTTTTAGTTCTTCTATTACATTAAGCTACTTTCTACAGCATGAAATGTGCCCTTACATAAAAGCACCTGTTTACATGCAAGGCAAAGGAGTTCTCTCCCTTTGATCTCTACAGTACAAAATATATATATCAAAATTATTTTATAACATTTTATTTATATCTATCAATGGATCTATTGAACTATTTACCTGTCTATTTACATATCAATTCCACTCTCTTTATTATCCTTATGTCCTTTTCATCACCAGAGCAAGATTTACCTGTCTTATTTACTGACATTTCCCCTTGTCTGAGAATTGTGCCTGGCACACAGAACTTTGTCACATAATATTATATTAATATTATATGAAAGAATAACCAAGTTGACAAATATTAATATCCTTTTTCTGTCTTCTCAATATAAGTATATTTTGCTATGAACTTATAAATCATCAATAGCATTAAAATTCACTATTCTGCAATTGAACTAGTATAAAACACAAATACAATGATAACGAATATGAAGAGTAATACTGCATTCTTTAGGAATGGGTGTATGCATGTGTGTGCATGTATGTGTGTGCGTGTGTGTGTGTACATGCAGGAACAAAGTACATAGCTGTATTCTAATGTCCATAATGACTTCATATCAGGCCCATCTATTTTATTTTCTAAGTAGACAGAGTATATTATTCTAGGTAAAATATGATTTGTTTAAATTTCAAATAGAATTAATATTAGTGACAAATTGCAGGTAATTTATAAACATTAAATGCATAATCATGAGTAGCAGGAAATTTATAAGTCATTTATATTTGACCTTTTTGTACATCAGAAATCTTTTACATTAATTTTGTCTTTCTGTTTATGATTTCACTATGTAATTACCAAGGTATTCTTCCATCTTTCTAGTCATATAATGGTTCTAAAGTGAAATAATAATGTTAAAAAAACTACAACGTTTTGTTTTTAACTATTACAGACAATGCTTTATAGCCATCTACTTCAATTTCCACCAGTTCTATGTTCACTTGAGCAGTGATGAAGAGTGAAGTGGTTTTAGCACTCATATTTCCTAAGGTTCACTACAAGATGGATGAAATATCTCAAGAGATTATCAATGTCTTCCTGACTATACATGGACTCAAAAACAGTAACTCAAACTCAAAATACCTTGTTATGTAGAAGAAAAGTCACTGACTGTCAGACAAGGGATTCTGGTTGAAGAAATGATATCCCATTGTGAATGAAAAAATTGCATCTTGGAAAGCTTTTAACACAGCAGAATGAACATTAGCTTTTCTGACAGATGTGGAAATAAATATTGGCAGCTGTCTGGACTTTGGTAAGTTACTTCCCATTTCCTATCTGTGTGACCATGACCATAGGTAAATTATTCATCTTTTCTGAAGCTCAGATTTCTCCTTTTAGGATTGTCAAGAGAATAAATGAAGTAATGTGCAATGCTCATTAAATATTACTGTCTTCTTCTTCACCTCATGCCTCTGCCTGCCACTTCTCCCAAGAGACTGGCTATCATGAGCCAGGTTAGAGACTGATGTGTGGTGAGTGCTTGGACAAAGTTAAGTTTTTGGACTCTGCGGAGAAAACTCGATCCTGAGTTGTGGGGAATATATGAAGTTATAGCCAACTATATAGCTCTGTCTAGGCAGCCTCCTTTAGATCTTTACCTCTACCCCTATTTTCATATTTATTTTACACTGAATTCATTCTTAAATAAGGCTACATTATTCTTTACATTCTTTGTTATATGTAGAACTCATTATGGCCTTTTTTCATCAGCATTCTCGGATGGAGGGTGCAGGGGAGTCACTGGTTCATTGCTCTTCTTGCTGCATTATAAACTCAAGTGGAGTAGAAGGGAAGGGCGAGGCACTTTCTCGGAATCTAGGACAGTTCCTTGCTGGATGAACAAAGTCATAATCATCCATTATAATCCTTTTATTCTGTGGTGCAATTATCAAAAGGAATGGAAAGAGCTTGTGGAAAAAGTTTTGATGATGAGAGAATGTTAAAATTAGCTCTGAATACCAAGGAACAGAAATGAAGACCAAGGAGTGACCTAGAAAAACATGAAGACCAAAAAGGGGTTTTGAAGGCTAAGGAATATGTCTTATTCATCTTTAGCCTTGTCCCTGATGTGAATGAGTATGGGGGTGTGGAGAGAATCAATAACTGCCAAATATATATTCTGTGCTAGATCTGTGTGAACCACATATTATTCTTTCATTTACTCCTCCCAAGAAGTCAGTATTAATGAAGAAACAATATCTCTCTTTTTTAAATGAACTTACAATTGAGAAGTTAAATAATTTTCTTATGTTCCCAGAAGGGAGTTATAAAACTGATATTTGAACCAGATTGGCAGCCACCAAAGCTCATGTTTCCACTGTCTTATTTTGTCTTATATTCCAACTACATATCAAGAGTTTATAAATAGATCTTCATTTACAGAGACAACAATTGTGTTGCTATTCCATGAGTTGTGGTGTATAGTATAAGGTCCACTTTGCAATTTAAATGGAGGCAGAAAATGTAGATGTAGACAGATCTTCAAAGTATCACCTATGTTAGCTCCTGATTTTGTTTTGCTTACCACTTAACAAGAACACTGTCTAGCAGAGAAGGGCTATCTCGTTGTTTGAGATGGAGACAATAACATGGAATTGTATTTAGCAGAAATTTGAGCTATGCCTTTCTCCTAAATATCTAAAGACAAAAGAAAGTTGAATGTAGACACACTTAAAAGAAAGGAGAGATTAATGATTCCACACTAGAAAACCTTTAAAGAGAAAATGTGTCTCATACTTAACAATAATGATAAAGAACTACTAAGGTATCTCCTGTTGAAAAATATGGTTATTCCAGGCTTTAGAGGTATTAATGAAAGTGAGTATAAATCTTCTATACATTCTTTTTATGTAAATAAAATTTAAATAACCCCTCCTTTTTGGTCTTTTTGAGACAGGATCTCAGTAGAGAGTCCAGGCTGGTTTCAAACTTGTGGACCTCCTCCTGCCTTAGTCTCCTGAGTGCTGGAATTATAAGCATGTGCCACCATGCCTGGCTAAAAATACTCCCCCCCTCCTTTTATTTTTGAGACAGGGTCTCACTATGTAGTCCAGGCTGGCCTTGAACTCACTATGTAGCCCAGGTCTCAGACTCCCAGTGATTTTCCTGCCTCAGCATCCCAAGTGCTGGGACTACAGGTGTGCACAACCACACTCAGTTTAAAATAGCCCTTCGTGATAGCCTTCAGGATATCACTTTGACTGCATTACTTCCTTCTCAATGTTTTACTTGCTAAAACCAAGTTATGTGAAAGACACTACAGGAGAGAGAGAGAGAGAGAGAGAGAGAGAGAGAGAGAGAGAGAGAGAGACAGACAGGCAGAGAGACAGAGAGAGCCAGAGAGCCAGAGAGGTTTCATTATAAAAGATAGAAGGCTGAGGATTTAGCTCAATGGTGCCACCTGCATCGCAAGTGCAAGGTCTGGAGTTCGACCCCCAGTACTGAAAAAAAAAAAAAAAAGAAGAAGAGAAGGAAGAGTCACTAAGTGCAAGAAAGTAGATATGATCAAAGTATGATATATGGATGAATGGATGTTCAAAATGAAATCAATTAGTTTGTATACCTAATAGGTAATAATAAAAAAATGACTGGCTAGAACTAAATTCCAGCTCTGACTCTTACCATTAAAAACTTCTCTATACCTTTTACTCATCTGAAAAAATGTGAAGAATTATTACATTAAGACATACAGAACACTTAGAATCACACCTGGTGTATATTAAATAGGCATTATTTTGGGGCTGGGGATTTAGCTCAGTGGCTCAGCACCTGCCTTGCAAGTGCAAGCTTCTGAGTTAGATTCCAGTTACAGTAAAAAATAAAAAATAAAAAATAAATAAGTAGACCTTATTTTAATCTGTTTGTTTACTTCAGAATCAGTGGAGAACTATACTAAGCAAAGAATTGGATATATATAATAGTTCTAGTTAGTAGGTACGTATGATTGTCCGCCTCTTTGATTTAGATAAATACAAATTTCTTCCCTCAATGTATTTATTATTGCATTACACAAGTCATAGATGAATTGAAAAGAGATTTCTAGTCTAATTATAGATAAACTCAACCGTAGTATTTGCTAGATCTGTACAAACCAAACCATTTAATATGAAGCTCACATTAAATATGTAAAATGTATAGTCAATCCTGGATTTGTGTCTTCCAAATTTTATTCTGAGTGTCAAAATCTCAGAGGAGGCATCCCTGGAATTGATGCATATAGAAGAAAATTATCATCTTTATTCTCTTGATTATATTTCATTGAGTTAAATTTAGAGTGTTATCAAGATAATTTCATGTAAATTTTTCTGTCGGGTTAGTTCAACCAACATCCAGCCATCCACCCACCCATCCACCCCATCCTTACAACAACTGTTTATTAAACATTTTCTTCAAGCAATGTAAATTTGTGAGACCCTAGAAGTAACTTATTAAACAGGATAGACATAGTACTTACCAAGGGAGTTTATATTCTATCAGAGAGTAACCACCAATTAGGTAAACAACTACAACGAAGAGGATTTAATCACTAGTGGGCATAATTTCCCAATTATGTTCTTTCTATTTAAGGTTAAATATTTTCTTTGTTTCACCCATGTCTCTATTAGCTCTCTGCATGAAGCATAGAAATTTGAGTGCTCTTTATGGGACTCTTTGTCATCATCAGAAACATCTTACAAGTGTTTCACTTGTAAGAGGGACTGCACAACGTACAGGGAAGGAAATGGAGAGGGAGAAGCTCACAGGAACTTGCCGCCGCAGGTTTGTTGGTGTGCCAGATGGGGAGGAGCTGGTGCTGAGAGCATTCTCAATGTCCTGGTCAAGTTGGTCCAGTTTCATGATTAGCAGCACCATGGAGTCCAGCCTCACCCTATCTCGATCTTCTCTTATTTCCTGGGGAACAGAACATGTTGTTACTGAATTTGAAAAGTCATTTCTGGGAAAGAATAAAAGGTTCCTTGTTCTTTAGTGTGACAAAAAGGACACTGGATAATAGGCCGTCTTCTACTAAAAGGGGAAGGGAAGCTCTATTCTGTGTCATCAATGGGCTCTTCATTGGCAAGATACTGATCTCCTGCCAAGAAAGCATTTTACATAAATATTAAATATATGAAAAAGTGTAACAAAGGGTACTGATACATCTTTCCTATTAATTATTCTTGGGGATAAGTTCTATATTTGTCTTTTCTTAAGGTACAAAGTAATTATTTATAAGACACTAATAGTCATTTGTAGTTAGACATTTAAGGATGTGTATAAGAGAATATTTTTGGAGGGATATTTTTGAGTATAGTAAAAGTCATCTGAAAAGAATGAAGCAAAGCAGGGTTTGGGTTGGACAGTGGGCAATTTTTCTTCCATGGCGCCATTTGCCTACTGTTGCTTCATGCTATGTCATTGCCAATACTTCTTTCCGAGCTTCTTTCTCTTTTAAAAAATACTTTTAAAAATCCTGCACAGAAATATATATATTTTTGGAAATGATTATGGTTGCTTACTCTGAATACTCCATGGTATAGACATATATTTTGGAAATACTATGGTTTATAGGAGGAGCTAAAACTTCTCAATGACCATGTAGGATTACTTGGAGGTGATTCTTTACTACTCTTGTATATGCAGTTCAAGTCAGTGTGTATCCAGAATCTTCCAGATGTCTTATGCTGTGCTAAGGGATTAGGGCTGGGTAGGACACTGAGTAGAAAAATGAGCATGGAAAGCACAGGTACGTTTTTTAGAAGCAAGCCTATTGAGACAGGGAAGGGACTCCAGGCTAGCCTTTTGAAGTAAAGCACCACTTGTACCTAGATTTCCTACCTCCCATCTGACTGAGATACTTATTGCCAAGAAATCATCTTTAAAGGACTACTGATAGCTAATCTCAGAGAGAAATCCAGTTGTCACAGAATCTTGAAGGCTTGACAATACAAGAGTTTTGTCAATACAAAAGCAGGTTTGGGGCTGTGTTTCAGGGACAGCATTACTCATGGAATGAGAGTGACAACTGTTTGAATCAGACCTTTAGTTTTGATTTTGGAGTTAACTTTTTTTTTTTTGTACCGGGGATCGAACTTGGGGCCTTGAGCTTGTGAGGTAGGCGGTGGAACTACTGAGCTAAATCCCCAGCCCTGCAGTTAACTTTTCGTCTTTAAAATTCCCCAACCTCCATCTAAAGACACTCCAGAGGGACTAGGGTGATTTAGTTGATTAATCCAATTCTATAGGGGTCTCTACACCTCCAACAGCTGGGGCAGATCATTAACTTTCAGATGTCAAATAATTGGTTTATAAGATTAAGTTGGTTAGAGAATCAATTACTTAAGCTAATAGTAGATAAAGTATTTTAAAAAATTAAGCCTGTATTTGTTTTAACAGATCAATACAAATTGAAGGACTACTCTTGCTTCCACAAAGACAAATTAACTTTGAGAATAAATTAAGAATTTTTGATACGTGCTATTTCCTTTAGAAAGCTATAACAGTCTTACTACTTTCAATTTCTTCTTGTTCCTGCTATCTGAAATATTCAGTGAAGATCTACAGAGAAACATGAACTTACATTATCATATATTTTGTTGTACTGAAAAGTGTCAATGATATTTGTAATCAAACAAATCTGAACCTTTCTATATATTACATCTTTTAACGTTACAGAACTTAGTTATATTTAAAGGAGTGTTATTATAGTAAAATCCTGCTTATACCCAAAATAAAGTCTCAGAAATATTTGATTTTTATATTTAAATCCCTTATAAATAGTCCAAAATGAAAAAATTTGACTGAATAATAATTAAGTATCCTTAATTATTCTTCCATTGTATTAGTTTATATAATTTCCTATTCTTTTAAACTGAAGTTGTGTTTGGCAATATGATCTTCTTTGAATCTCTATCCACATGTGTTTTTGTGTGACAGTCTTTTATTTCTCAGTCATGGGGCCCTGAAGGACAAAGATAAAGTTTTTCTACCTGGCAGACATAGAATCAAGTTATCCACTGCCTCCCAATACATTTTCAGTAATAATAATAACAATGAAATCAATACAAACCATAAGATAATGCCTTGTAAGGCTTGGAAAATATATATTGATTTTTTTTCCAGCTACCAAGTTCATGTTAGGTAAAGCAATATATCCTGCAGCTTGTTGGATCTATCAGCAGTAGTCTCAGAAACAATTTGTCTTTGAATTAACTGGACGCTGAAATTATGCTTTGAAAATACTTTCAAATCCTTGAGTAATCATTAAATTATTTCAATCATCTGCCAAAAGGATAAAACTAAACACTTTTGTTCTGTAATATTCTTTTTAGAGAAATAAGCCTATTTCTTTTCCCATTCATTCATGGGTACTTCCTTATTCACACTCTGCTATATTTGGTTAGAAGGAGAAAGCATTTTATGTGTTACACGTTCATAAAACCGCACTAAATACAGTGACTACAAACCAGATGCTTTGGATATATATCATGGTCCTGATTTTTAAAGCCAAAGTATTAATTTTTCACAAAGTTTTAACCTTTCATATATCCGTGGCTAACTCCAGCAAATAGTCTATGCCTGAAAACAGAGCAGTGTATTTGCAGATTTTGGCTAGGGTGATTGCTGCAGTGGAGATTAATTTCATTCTGTCAATAGAGTCCATGAAGAAGATCATTTTAATAAATGAAATCTCCTCTTCATGAAGTCCATATTTCATTAACTTACTCCCCTCAAGTCAAAACCAAGCTGCTAAATTGCCTTCCCTCTTCTATTTTCTTCCTTCTTTCCTTCTGTTACAACTGTTCTGGGCAAAGCTTTATTAAGGGGACTGAATAACAATCAGTGAACAAAATAAATATGACTGAAAGCTATTAAATTCATAAATAATATAGTTACAAGTTTAAGAAGAAGAAAAATAGGTTAATGAGAAATAACTGCAAGCATAATGCCTTACTTTACATAAGATGATCAGAAGAGAGATCTCTGTGGAACTGAGAGTCAAACCATGACAGGAGTAGGATGAGATGGAGGAGATGATGGAGACAGAGATAGAAGGAGCGTGAAAAAGGGAGGAGGAGAAGAGGGGGAGGAAAAAGGGAGAGACAAGGAGGAAGAAGAGAGCTAGGAAAATAGCATTCCAAGTGGCATGAAGAGTGATACAATGATGCTGAGTTGAGAATTATTTTGGCCAATTGGAGGATCGGGAAATAAAAATGGAACTGAAGGAGAGAGAAGGAGAGGGGCAGAATGCGGTGCAAAATGAGCTGAGTGATAAATGACACCCTGTTGTGAAGGTAACTGTAATGAGCTAAGCTTTACTTTCTGTGCAATGGGAGGCCATTGGCAGGATGCATAAAAATGAGTGATTTCTAGGTTTATTTTAATTTAAAATTTTCAGTATCTATTTGTAATGAAAGATTTTTGAAACCTCAACTATATTTGATATGCAGTAATGCCACTAGCTGTGACTAAGAATAGTTATAATCTTCTTATGCTAAAATCTGAAATGGACACATATGATAGTAATTACAGAGCAATAACAGCTAATTATCATATATATATATTTTGTTTTGAGATCAAAGTGGAAAAAAAAAAGAGAGGGCAATGTTTGGGAGAATTATTTCCTAGGAGTATGGATGGTGGACAATAGGTGTTGTTAAATATGCACCTTCAAATGAAAAAGAAAGTCCTGATTTGTAACATTTGCTGATTTTGTGGTGTAAGTACTTTTCTGGTTCCCTTTAAGCTACCACCTAGATACTAATAAATTCAAAATTGGAAGGAGTGTGCATAATAAATCTTTGGAATTTGGCGTGAGTGATTTTATGATTTATCTCAAACACACTGAACCGGTAGGATGGAGAATCATTCTTAGAATTTGGCTTAAAATAGAAATATTATTTGATAAGCCAACACCTAGAATTATGATTTAATCAAAATTAAAACATTGAATAATTCATTTTATTTAATCAATTTATTTTCCTTAGCATTTATTCTTTTGCCCAGGTAGAGTGCAGTATAAAATGTAGATTTAAATTTAGTGCTCTCCTGGAGGGTTATTTTTTCTTAGTGTGGCTCTTTTGTCTGCCTTCCTTGACCTATATACTACTTAATTTTGTAAAGTTCCTTAAAATTCATTGTAACTAACAGCCTTTTACATTTATATTTTTTCTTAATCAAAATATATTTCTTTAAATTGCTTAACAATCTTTCTTGGATATTTCATTCAAAATCTAAGAATTTAGAAATACAGAAGATAAGGACTGTGATGGTCAATGCCAATGCCCTGATTCTGCAGATAATAATAATGAACTCCAGGAAGTCTTTTAAGTAAAAGTCGCTCCTACAAGGACAAATCCTAGACCAGACCCTTTCTCTTTCACACCAAGCCTTGATTGCTTTCCAGTGTTTCATTTGCTTTCCTTTCGTAGATAACATTTCTAAGTTAAATGCCATCATGTATTCTCTGCTCAACTCCTGCAATATGCTTTCCATTTCTGCCAACACAGAAAAACTATGTTTTTGAAGAACTCCAATATCACCACAATTAATTGTAAAACTCTTTAGATGTTATCTTACCCAATTTCTTAAACTTTTAACAATCATTCAATCAATCATGTGTTTTATACACTATTATCTAGGAAGCAACTTGTTTTGTATTTGTGCAGATTTTTGTATTTTATATTTTAGAAATGTAATATTGTATTAGAAATGTATTACTGTATTAGAAATGTAATATTGAATTGTAATATTGAAATGTAATATTAGAAATGTAATTTACTCTATTGAGTAAAATTCTGATTTACTCTAATTTCTCAATTTCTTCCTTCAGAATAAAGCAGAATATATAGGATCTGTTCCACAGAACAGCCTTCAAATATCTGAATAACTACATTATATCCATTTTCTTACTT